ATTAAAAATAAAGACTTCCTTAGTTAGTAAGAAAAAGTGGCTAATCTGGTTTTAATTGGAGAGCTTTGTTGTAGTCTTGAAGGGCTTTTTCTTTTTCTCCTTGTTTTAAAAATAGATTTCCTAATTATATGACAAGATGTAGTACCTCGGTTGTGGTATGCTTCAGCATGATTTGGATTCAATTTGATGGCAGCGTTGTAGTCTTGCATTGCTTTTTCTTTTTCTCCTAGTTATTTAAATATAATCCCTAATTATATTGCTAGATTATTTACCTCGGCAATTATATGCATTAGCATGATCTGGATTCATTTTGATGGCTATGTTGTAGTTTTGGAGTGCTTTTTCTTTTTCTCCTTATTCAAAAAATAGATTTCCTAATTATATTACTAGATTAAATACCTCTGTTGAAATAAGCAATAGCAAATTTTGGATTCAAATTGATAGCTATGTTGTATTCTTGGAGTGCTAAATCTATTTCTCCTTGTTCTAAAAATAGATTTCCTAATTATATTACAAAATTATTTACCTCTACTATTATACGCATTAGCATAATTTGGATTCATTTTGATGGCCACGTTGAAGTCTTGGAGTGCTTTTTCTTTTTCTCCTTATTCAAATAATAGATTTCCTAAATATAATATTATAGTATATACCTCTGTTGAAATACGCAATAGCAAATTTTGGATTCAATTTGATGGCCGTATTGTAGTCTTGAATTGCTTTTTCTTTTTCTCCTTGCAATTTTAATAGAATTCCTAATTATATTGCTAGATTATTTACCTCTTTTGTGATACGCGTCAGCATGATTTGAGTTCAATTTGATGGTTGCGTTGAAGTCTTGGAGTGCTTTTTCATTTTCTCCTTGTTCTATTAATAGATTTCCTAATGATACTACTAAAATGAATACCTCTGTTGAAATACGCGATAGCAAATTTTGGATTCAAATTGATAGCTATGTTGTAGTCCTGGAGTGCTTTTTCTTTTTCTCCTTGTTCTATTAATAGATTTCCTAATTATATTACTAGACTAAATACCTCTGTTGAAATACGCTGTAGCAAATTTTGGATTCAAATTGATAGCCTAGTTGTAGTCTTGGAGTGCTTATTCTGTTTCTCCTTGTTCTATTAATAGATTTCCTAATTTAAATAAGAAATACATACTTAGATTATTATCCGCATTAGCATGATTAGGATTCAAATTGATGGCCACATTGAAGTCTTGGAGTGCTTTTTCTTTTTCTCCTTGTTCCAAAAAAAGCTGTCCTAATGATATGACTAGATGAAATACCTCTGCTATTATACACATTAGCATGATTTGGATTCAATTTGATGACCGTGTTGTAGTCTTGGAGTGCTTTTTCTTTTTCTCCTTTTTCTGAAAATAGATTCCATAATTATATGAAAAGATTTTACCTCGGTTATGATAAGCATTAGCATAATTTGGATTCAATTTGATGGCCATGTTGTAGTCTTGTAGGGCTTTTTCTTTTTCCCCTTTTTCTAAAAATAAATTTCCTAATGATATGACAAGATTTAGTACCTCGGTTGTGATATGCATTAGCATAATTGGGATTCAATTTGATGGCCATGTTGTAGTCTTGGAATGCTTTTTCTTTTTCCCCTTGTTCTGAAAAAAGCTTTCCTAATTATAAGAATAGATTATATACCTCTGTTGATATATGCATTAGCATGATTTGGATTTATTTTGATGGCCGTATTGTAGTCTTGGAATGCTTATTCTGTTTCTCCTAGTTCTAAAAAAAGCTTTCCTAATTATATGACTAGATGAAATACCTCGGCTATTATACACAGTAGCATGATTTGGATTCAATTTGATGACCGTGTTGTAGTCTTGGAGTGCTTTTTCTTTTTCTCCTTGCTCTGAAAAAAGCTTTCCTAATTATATGACTAGACTATATACCTCTGTTGAAATAAGGAATAGAAAAATTTGGATTCAATCTGATAGCCGTGTGGTAGTCTTATAGTGCTTTTTCTTTTTCTCCTTGTTCTAAAAATAGATTTCCTAATTATATTACAAAATTATTTACCTCTACTATTATACACATTAACATGATTTGGATACAATTTGATGACCATGTTGTAGTCTTGGAGTGCTTTTTCTTTCTCTCTTTGCTCTGAAAATAGATTTCCTATTTATATTACTTGAGTATATACCTCTGTTGTGATACGCTTCAGCAAGATTTGGATTCAATTTGATAGCCATGTTATAGTTTTGGAGAGCTTTTTCTTTTTCTCCAAGTTATTTAAATAGATTTCCTATTTATATTATTAGATTATATACCTCTGTTGAAATACATATTAGCATCATTTGGATTTAATTTTATGGCCATATTGTAATCTTGGAGAGCTTTTTCTTTTTCTCCTTGTTCAAAAAATAGATTTCCTAATTGTATTGCTAGATTATATACCTCTATTGAAAAACATATTAGCATCATTTGGCTTTAATTTGATAGCCTAGTTGTAGTCTTGAAGGGCTTTTTCTTTTTCTCCTTGTTATTTAAATAGATTTCCTAGTTATATTATAAGATTATACACCTCTGTTGAAATATGCATCCGCATCACCAGCAAACATTATTTATTAAAGCATTTTCTATTACTATTTTTTATATATTATTAAGACTTTCACCCCCTTAATAAAAGAATAAATTTAAATTTTTAGAAAGAATCTAAGAAGTATATTCTTTGCAATCGTTTTTCTTGTTCTATCTTATATAGTATTTGTAATTACTCCTTTAATATTATTATTCCTACAAAATTAAGTTAGGTTAATTTTCATTATACTCTAATCTAAATCTAAAATTCCTCTTAATTATTTATTTTTAATTACCATATTTGTAAGGCATCAAACTCCTTTTCTTCTAACTCTAATCAATAAAATTTACTCTTAAATTATATTTAATAATAATTCTGAGATCTGTATAAATTAATTGAAAATAGAAAATTTTTATATATTTGTGGTTATTTCTTACTTGAATTAAATATTAAAAAATTAGAATATTTTACAAGTTTCCTTTGTTTAAAAATCTAAAATTAACATTACTGATTATTATGCTTATATACAAGTTCAAATATCTTTTACATATTTAACATGTATATTTTACATTTATAATTTTAGAATGTTTCTAATAGAATTAGTGAAAAAGGAAGAAAGTCTGGATATTAATTTCAATTATTATAAGGAGATCTAAATATTTGAATGTAAAATAAAATATTAAGAGTATTTAAAGACACATTTGTTAAACATAAAAAGTAATTTTTCAATTACTTTATAAAGGAGGATATAATTGTAAATAACATCAATAAAGAGCTTCATATAAACAATTATTAAATAGTTATTTGAAATAGAATTTAAATATTTTTAATAAAAAAATTATTAATGGGACTAAAAATAACAAATGGCTTAAGTGAGTAGAATAAAGGCTAGAATAATTCAACAACTAAAGTTTATATGAGAAGATAATATGATATAAATAATTTATGTTTCTCTTCTTCCTAACAGGGTGAAATAATAATAACAAAATAAAAATATTATAGTCTAAACAATAAATTGGAAAA